TGCATGGATCCGTTCCATATCATTGGAAGAAAAACACTTTTTTATTTATTTCACAGTGGAAGATGAATCAGCATGGTTTCACTTAGGAAGGGTGGATTTCCGCGTCCTCATCCATCTGCAATGCGTTTGAACCGCCCGCCCGGGTCTTACTCACTGCCCTGGGGCGCGGCGACCTCCACTCCTCTCGTGGCAGCCTGCGTGCGGCTGCCCAGGCCAAAAGCAAAGTCGCCGCTTCTCAGTGCAAAGTCCATGCTTTCAGGGTGGTTGGTAAACGGCCCTAGATGCTGCACTGCGACCCCTTATGGACGATGGAAGCTGTGGAGCGACTCTCTAACGGTTGCAATGCGCAGGACGCAGGACCGCGGCCTCCCACATTGGTCAGACGGGAGACCTGCTCGGGACGGGGCCACAGCTGCCGCTTGGGGAAAGTGTGACAGCCTCGGGGCAGGATGGGCTGTGAAGGGCCAAAGCCTGGAGAGAGAAGACCACAGCAGAAGAGGATGACAAAAGCCCATGGGAGGCCACGGCCAGGTGTGGAAGCTGTCTTCGCCCAGCCTTGCGTGTCAGAGAGGTCAGGCAGCGCGGCTCTCACCCTCGCCCTTTCTGCCTGCCAACAGCTTGCTCTGCCATCGGGCGGGTAACTGCAGTCTTGGTGCACGGCGGTGCAGCACCAAGCTGCTCTCCGCAAACAGTTGCCACTTCAGTTGAAACGGCAATGGCTCCCGTGGCCTCCTCAGCCGTGGCCGACCAATCGCTCCCAGCTAGGTGGGCGGCCAGTGTGAACCCCACCAACGTGCTGGATCCGAAAAGCAAACAGGAGCACAGGAGCGGGTTGTTCTCATGATGACAGCAGCACCGAGAGCGGAATGCAGTGACTTCCTGCAGACACCGCAACCGGGGCTGATGCTGGTCTGCACAGAAACGTCCCGCAGTTGTGTCAGTGAGAACCAGGCTCCCCGGCCACACAGAGAGGGTTAAGCTGATCCCATTTCCTAGGACTCGGAGAGGACAAGAGTATTTATGTTAAGAATATAAATTTGCTATTAATGCAACTTCAGCCAATCGGTGCCCAAGTCACCTGCTGGCAAAAGAAAGAGTCAGTCTAGGATCGTTTCCGCCTCTCCCTGGAGCTCCCCAGGGCAGGACTGTCCTCCTGGAACACGGAGGAGACGCTGATCTGGGGCCTGCACACAGGCACCTGGCACTCCTGCTGGGATGCACCGTCCGTGTCTGCTCCAAGGTCCCGGCTGTCCTCGTGTGAGTGACCGTCTCTCCCACACGGGTTCAACTTTCTCATCAGCTTCAAAATTGCAGACAACCACGTGCTAGCTCTTAATCAAACCTCCCTTTCTTATACTAATTGCTTTGTTTCCATCCGAGACGCCTGTCCTTTTGGAATCTTTGCCCTCTTGTTACATGCCGGAAAAAAATAGTTGTGAGATTGTATCAATGTATTTCTTAAATATTCTGTTGAAAAACTCGAACTACTGCTTGTGCAACAAGCAGACTGATAAGAATTTGGGGGGTCTGTGACGTGAGATACGTTTACAGCGTGGGGTGTCACAGCCCAGGGGTCTTATCACCTGCACAACAAGGAAGACAGGCACCATCAGCTGTCACTTGTCCCCTGGAGAAACATCTCAAACGGAGCAAAACAGGGACCACCGTGCACGGCGCTGGACACCTCTGCGGGCCGCCTCTCTGGAGCTGCTCTGGGAGCCCCGTGAGGCTGTCAGAGCAGCAAAGGTGAAGTTAAGTTGGGAACATACAGAAGAAGTAAACTGAGTAAGCTGCTCCTAATTAGGGGCCAAAACAAAGCTGGCAGTAAGTAAATTTTTGTCAGAAGAAGAAAAGTGAGAGAGAAAGGAAGGGAGGGCAGGAGGCAGGGTTTTACATTCTGCCCCTTCTTGGAAAAAGGAACTTGGGCTACCCACATGAAACTGGCATTTGCAGGTCAAAAACAGCTGCACGTTGGCCACTGTATGTGGTTCGATCTAATCATGTCACTGCAAAGGCATCCGCTGGGTTCTGCAAAGGCTTCCCAGGGAGGTCCTGCCCAGCGCGGAGCTGGGGCCTGGCCTGGCGCCTGGCGCCCACACGCCCCGCACGCTCCCGCTCGCTCCGTGAGGAGGCCGGCCGTTCGCACAAGGGAGACGCCAGCGCCGGCCTCCGAAAACACCCAGCGTCTTCCTCCAGTGCGTCTGAAACATCAAGTCAGCTCTCTTTAAGCTGATGAAAAAGAATGAGCTCCCACATGTGAAAAGAATGCCTTTAAACAGAATGTCAAAAATGAGCAGAAACTGTTTATTCCAGGATGTTCAGACACCCCCTCTGTGGCCAGGCTTGGGACCATGATCACATTCTTGCTTTGTTGTCTACAAAAACATCGATGCGCCAAAGTTGTGCAAGCCACACGCTGCGAATCATTCTGTCACGCAAATACCAAAAGGATCTCAGCAGCCGCCTAGTGACGAGACTGAGCAGGCCAGAAGCCGCGCTCGTCCCCTTCCCCTCTGCAGGCGGGGCTCGCCCTGGAGGCGCCGGTGGGACTGGGAGGTGGGACCGCCTCACCTTGCCGCGTCTGCCCCGTCTGCCTCACTTTGTGTGACGAGGGACCATCACACAAAGGCCCTCTGGAACGTGGGGCGATGAAGGGACCGCAGGGTCCGTCGCACAATGACCCAGCCTCGTGCCCAAGTCCCCACACTCTCCTGACCCAGCGGAAACCCCGCCCGGGGCTCTCCTCACACAGACCCTGGAGCAGGCAGCTCCTCTCCACCCCACGGGCCTCCGCGTTCTGTGTCGGAGAAGAACGGCCTCGAGTGGGTCTTCCAAGACGGAATTCCACCTCTGCTTTCTCTGTGAGTAGCTCTTGTCAGGTATTTGGAAAGAGAGAATAATGATAATGCCTAGTAAACGCACAGATCATAAAAAGCAATAAATGAAATCAAGTCAAAAACAAAATGCTCTGTGTGAATATTTTATTACGCCTCTCTGACGAAGGCAGAACGGCCAGTCACGTGCACGTGATGACACCTGTTCGCTGCTTAGAAATGTGCGGCCATGCAGAGAACAGACGACACAGAGACACCGCGCCGCGCGCCGTCAGCAGCACGGATTTCCAAGGCGCCGGCAACAGCAGCCCCTGCTCCTCCCTCCGCCGGCTGGCGCGGAGACTGCTGTGTGCCTGGGCCCAGAGAGGGGTCCCGAGCCCGCAGCGGTCTGGTCCCTCACCCTGCCCAGAAGCCCCTCCAGCGCTCTGCTGCCCGCGCCCCACCGGCTTTGTTCTCCGCCTCCCACTGCGGCTTTTCCAGCAGGTCTGCGCGGGCAGAGCCTGACCTGGGGCCTGACACAGCTCTCTCCTCAGCAGCGGCGGCTCCAAGACCTTCTTGTTCCTGATTTTCCCTAGACGGAGCTCTCGAATGGATTTTGTTTTTTTAACACAGATTTTGTTTTCTTTGACATATTATTCGGCTATTATTATTGACATTAAGTAATCTTACATTTATTTTTCCTAGAGTCGTATTGGACATAACTAGAACCACGACTGACTCCGGAAAAATTTATGTAAAAACAAAAGCAATGTATGACAGAAACTAACATTTATTCTGAAAGTAATATTCAAAATTGGATACGTTAAAAACAACAAAATGTTCGTGCAGTGCTGGTGGGAATGTAAAACCATGCAGCTGCTACAGAGAATAGTAAGGCAGTCCCCAAAAAAATTACAAATTGAATTATTAGCACCATATGCTCTGGCAATCCCACTTCTGGTATATACCAGAAAGGGGACCCCCGAGGCCCAATGACAGACAAATAAACTGAAATGTGGTAGATACTTGCAGTGGAACATCAGTCAGACATAAAATGAAACGTCTGACACATTACAACCTAGATGAACCCTGGGCAATGTGCTACGTGCAACAAACTGTCACAAAAGGACAGGCTCTGTGTGATGCCGCTGACGTAAAGAGCCTGGGTGGTCAGATTCGCAGAAGTGGGAAGTGCAAAGGTAGTTTCCGGGGGCTGAGGGTGGGGTTGGTGTTTAACAGATAAAGAGTTTCAATTTTGCAAAAGAAAATAATCTAGAGGCGGATGGTGGTAATGGTTGCACCAGGCGAATGTTCCTAACACTTCCGAACTGCACCATTAAAAGTCAAGATGGTAAATTTCAAGTTACTTATATTTCACTACAATAGAAAATAAAAATAAATTTTGAGTGATACACTAAAATTAAGAATATTAAATAAGACGCTATAGTCTTGTTGGCCCTGAAACTGGCCTCTTTAGTTCTAAACAAATCTCACTGTAACAAAGAGAAATGGAATACTTAATACAAGTGGATAAAAATGTCTGGAAAACGCAAGTGTTAGGAAAGTGAAAATGACTCGTGCTTAACTTGTGCTTCTCAAACGTGTTGCAAAGCTATGTAGCATATTGACAGCTAGTGCGTGACAATCCAACAGGGAGCCAGGAGGGCGGCCCGTGACGTGTCTTGGGAGGTGAGGTCACAGCATGGGGGTCTCCAGGAACATAAGCACAAATGTGACCGGCAGGTGCTTTGACGTGACAAAAGCCCCCACTGTCTGGCTTCACACAAGGGACGGCAGCGCCACGTCAGGGCACATGTGGTCCGGCTGGTCCGGAGCCCACATGTGGGGGCGTCACGAGTGCGAAAGTCACTGGAGCCTTGAACTGTCCCAGAAGCTTCCTTGCTCTTCTGGGACCTTTAGAGTCTCACGTCTGCAGTCAATCCCAGGGCAGCTACTCCTCTCTGAGGAGCCTGTCCAGGCAGCACGTAACAGCCCTGCCTCAGTGGGACCGACCACCAGCCATGGAAGGAAAGGCCCAGAGGCCCCCAGGCAGAGGCCACAGTCCACCAGGCAAAGCCACGGACACGTTAATCAAAAGGCCGGAACTATTAGGGCTATAGCTTTATTTTCACTGCCCAAAAGAGAATTCCCTCTCTGCCTCTGTTATTTCTACAAAGACTAATTATGAAACAAATACTATATTATTTTATTGAAGAGTATTATTCCATTTTAACTTTACCAAATTCTGTTCAAAAGTACTGGACGCCATTTCCATTTTTTAGGGAGAGGGACCGCCGATGAGGAGCAGAAGGAAAACCTCACGAATGGGAGTGTCGCACCCCGGGTAGAGCTTGCAGAAAGAGAATCTGGAATGAGGCCCAAACTGTGAAAAACAGCTGCTGCTTCCGGCGGGTGACGGAGGGGCCTGTCTCTCTCTCCACCGCGTCCTCGGCACTCCTGGGCCAGCCCACAGGTCCGCAGCTACTCAGCTAGAAACAGCTGGAGTTTGCCATCCAGGGTGGCCGTGGCAAGCTGTAATTGAAAATAAAACACCATGTGCTTCCAATCACCTTTTATTAACTGGGAAACCTATAAGGAAAGTAACACAAAAGTCTATTTTCTTTATTTGTAATGTCCCAGATCTTAAATCAAAATGTATTAACACAGTAAAACCAATATATACAACAGATATAACATTTCATTAATCCAAACTACATTTCATTGCTATTTTAATGTTTTTAAGTTGCTTGGTCAGAGTCAACCTGCCTATACTGAACCAAAGGGCTAAGATATCCTTTTTAGATGTCTGCATACTGATAGCCAAGTCTGAGAGTTAAAAACAAGTCACAGGAGAGGGTGCCGGGCATCGGTGAAGCAGGAACACCAAGACTCTGTCTCCCCACTGACGGCAACAAAATAATAACAAAAAAATCAAACACGGGAAGGGAAAGAATTTTCCTTTAGAATTACCACATTATTACATTCAGTTGTCAAGTTTTCAACAAAAAATTCCCAAGGCATTCAAAGAAACTGGAAAGTATGGCCTATTCAAGAGATAAAATTAAATAACAGAAACTGTCCCTAAAAAAACATCCGATGGCAGATCTGTAACACAAAGTGCTCGAAGAATTATAGGAAGATGTGTATAAAGTTGAGAAAATGATGCATGAACATAATGGAAATACCGACAAAGAAAGAGAATCTAAAATGAAATCTAAAAGAAATTCTGGAGCTGGAAAAAGTACAATAATTGAAATAGAATATTCACTAGAGGGATTCAACAGTGGATTTGAGCAGGCAGAAGAAAGAATCAGGAGGAATGGCAGGGGCAATATATGTAACCCTAACAATATTTGTACCCCCATAATGTGATAAAATTAAATTAATAAAAAAACGAAAGAGGCCGGGCGCTGTGGCTCACGCCTGTAATCCTAGCTCTTGGGAGGCTGAGGCGGGCGGATTGCTCAAGGTCAGGAGTTCAAAACCAGCCTGAGCAAGAGCGAGACCCCGTCTCTACTATAAATAGAAAGAAATTAATTGGCCAACTGATATATATATAAAAAAATTAGCCGGGCATGGTGGCGCATGCCTGTAGTCCCAGCTACCCGGGAGGCTGAGGCAGAAGGATCACTTGAGCCCAGGAGTTTGAGGTTGCTGTGAGCTAGGCTGACGCCATGGCACTCACTCTAGCCTGGGCAACAAAGCGAGACTCTGTCTCAAAAAAAAAAAAAAAAAAAAACGAAAGAATCAGCAAACTTGAAGATAAGACAATAGAAATTATCAAGTCTAAGGAACATAAAGAACAAACTTTTGAAGAAAGTGAATAGAGCCTGAGGGGCCTGTGGACATCATCCAGCGGTTGACTGAGGCCTTGCCGGAGCCTCAGACAGGGAAGAGAGACAAAGGCACTGAGAAAATAATTAAAGAAATAATAGTTGGAAACTCCCCAAATTTGATGAAAGACGTCCAAAAAGCTCAATAAACTCCAAGTAAGATGAACCCAGAGAGGCCCACATCAAACTTTATTTATGTCACATTATAATTAAACTTTCAAAGGCCAAATGAAAAGAGAGAATCCTGGAAGCACCAAGAGAAAAGTGGCTCATTACATACAAAGGATTCCCAATGAGACTATTAGCACATTTCTCATCATAAATTGTGGAGGCCAGAAGGCAATAGACTGATATACTCAAAGGGATAAAAGAAACAATTAGGCTGATTATATGCAAAAAGAAAAAAGAAAAAAGAAGTGTCAGCCAAGAGTCCTATGTCCAGAAAAATGATCCTTTAAAAGTGAGGGGAAAAAATAAGACATTCCCAAAGAAACAAAAGCTGAGGGAATTTGTTACCACATCCCTGCCCTGCAAAAAATGCTTAAGAGAATCCTGCAATGTGAGTTAAAAGTACATTAAACAGTAATTTCAAACCATATGAAGAAATAAAGATCTTATAAAGGTAAATACATGGGTAACTATAAAAGTTAATATTACTATAATGACACTGTGTAAATCCACTTTTTGTTTTCTACATGATTTAGAAGACTAATCTATTTTTAAAAACCAATGATTAGTCTAAAAGCTAGTATTATTGTAACCTTGGTTTGTAACTCCACATTGTGTTCTGTATAGGGGTTGCACTAATTTATATTCCCAGCAATAGTGTACAAGGGTGTCCCTTTCTCCACATCCTTGACAGTATTCTTTATTGCTTTTTGTGTTTCTCAGATGACTAGTAATGTTAAGCATTTTTTTCATGCACCTGTTAGCCACTTGTATGTCTTCTTTTGAGAAATGTCTATTCGGAGCCTCTGCCTATTTTTTAATTGGATTATTTGATTTTTGTTATTGAGTTGTTGGAGTTTCTTATAAATTCTAGTTATTAATACTTTGTCAGATGGGCAGTTTACAAATATCTGGTTTGTCTCTTCCCTTTGTTGATTGTTTCCTTTATTGTACAGAAGCTTTTTAGGTTGATGTGATCCCATTTGTCCAATTTTGCTTTGGTTGCCTGCTTTGGGGTATTACTCAAGATGTCCTTGCCCAGACCAATGTCTTAAAGTGTTTCCCCAAATGCTTTCTTTTAGTAGTTTCATAGTTTCAGAGCTTAGATTTAAGTCTTCAATCCATTTTAATTTGATTTTTGTATATGGCGAGAGATAAGGGTCTCATTCTTCTGCACATGGATATCCAGTTTTCCCAGCACCATTTATTGAAGAGACTGTCCCTTTCCCACCATATGTTTTTGGCAATTTTTTCAAAGATAAGTTCAGTATAGATGTATGGATTTATTTCTGGGTTCTCTATTCTGTTTCATTGGTCTGTGTGTCTGTTTATGTTCATTGGTCTGTGTGTCTGTTTATAGCCCAATTCTGTGCTGTTTTGGTTACTATAGCTCTGTAATATAATGTGATTCTTCCAATTTTGTTCTTTTTGCTCAGGATGGCTTTGACTATTCTGGATCTTTTGTGGTTCTATGTAAATTTTAGGATTATTTTTTTCTATTTCTGTGAAGAATGTCATTGGTATTTTAATGGGAATTGAATTGAATCTGTAGATTGCTTTGGATAGTATGGACATTTTAACAATACTGATTCTTCCAATCCACAAGCATGGAATATCATTCCACTTCTTCAATTTCTTTCATCAGTGTTTTATGGTTTTCATTATGGAGGTCTTTCACTCCTTTGGTTAAGTTTATTTCTAGGTATTTTATTTTACTTTATTTTATTTTTAGCTAATGTAAATGAAATTACTTTCTTGGTTTCTTTGTCAGATTGTTTACTGTTGGCATATAGAAATGCCACTTATTTTTGTATATTGATTTTGTTTCCTGCAATTTAACTGAATTTGTTTGTCGGCTCTACTAGTTTTTTGCGGAGTCTTTAGGTTTCACTAAATATAAGATCGTATCATCTGCAAACAAGGATAATTTGACTTCTTCTTTTCCAATCTGGATGCCTTTTATTTCCTTTTCTTGTCTGATTGCTCCAGCTAGAACTTCCAGTACTATGGTGAATAACAGTAGTGAAAGTGGGCATCCTTGTCTTATTCAAGGTCTTAGAGGAAAGGCTCTCAGTTTTTCTACATTCAGTATGATACTCGCTGTGGATCTGTCATATGTGGCTTTTATCAAATTAAGGTAAGTTCCTTCATTACCCAGTTTTTTGAGAGTTTTTTTCATAAAGCAATGTTGAATTTTATCAAGTGCTTTTTCAGCATCAATTGAAATGATCATATGGTTTTTTCCTTCATTCTGTTGATATAATGTATCACACTGACTGATTTGGATATGTTGAAACATCCTTGCATCCCTGGGATGAATCCCACTTGATCATAATGAATGATCTTTTAAATGAATCATCAAATTTGGTTTGCCAGTATTTTGTTGATGATTTTTGCATCTATGTTCATCATAGATATTGGTCTATAGTTTTCTTTTGTTGTTGTTGTTACGTATTTGTTTGGGGTATCAGGATGATACAAGCCCCTAGAATGAGTTTGGGAGTATCTCCTCATCCTCAATTTTTTGAAATAGTTTAATTAGGATGAGTATTAGCTCTTCTTTGAATGCTTGGTAGAATTCAGCAGTGAAGCCATCAGGTACTGGGCTTTTCTTTGAAGATAGACTTTATTACTGCTTCTATTTTGTCACTTGTTACTGGTTTATTCAGGTTTTGTGTTTCTTCCTGGTTCAGTCTTGGTAGGTTGTATGTGTCTAGGAATTTATCCATTTCTTCTAGATTTTCCAGTTTATTGGCATATAATCGCTCATAGTAGTCTCTAATGATCCTTTGGATTTCTGCAGTGTCAGTTATAATGTCTCATTTTTTATCTTGTATTTTATTTATTTGGGTCTTCTCTCTTTTGTTCATCTGGCTAAAGATATGTGAATTTTGTTTAGCTTTTTAAAAAAACAGTTTTTCACTTTATTGATCTTTTTAATTATTTTGTAAGTTTCAACTTAATTTAGTTCTGCTCTGATCTTTATTACTTCTTTTCTTCTACTAATTTTTAGTTTGGTTTGCTCTTATTTTTCTAATTCTTTGGGATACATCTTTAGGTTGTTTATTTGAAGCTTTTCTACTTTTTGGATGTAAGCACTCATTGATATAAAAATTTCCTCTTATAACTTCTTTGTCTATATCCCATACGTTTTGATATGTTGTGTTTTCATTTTCATTTGTTACGAGAATTTTTAAATTTCCTTCTTAATGACCCAAATGACCAGTGGGTCAATCTCTTCCTTGAGCCCCTGGTCATTCAGGAGCAGATTGGCTATGTTTGTATCTTTTCCAATGTTCCTCTTATTGATTTCTAGTTTCAATGCATTGTGGTCAGAGAAAATATTTGGTATGATTTCAATTTTTTAAAATTTTTTTAAGACTTTTGTTGTGGCCTAGCATATGGTCTATCCTTGAGAATGATCCATGAGCTGAGGAGAAGAACATGTATTCTGCAGCTGTTGGATGAAATGTTCTGGAAATATCTATTTGGTTCATTTGGTTGTTAGTACAAAATAAGCCCAATGTTTCCTTGTTGATATTCTGTCTAGATGATCTGCCAAATGCTGAAAGTGCAGTGCTGAGGAGT